AATGAAAATTTATCTCGTGTTTCCTTACTTTGCATTTCTAATCTTATCCTGGAGCGGACTGTTAAATAAGATTATACCTTTTAGGAGAAGATATCATTCTGAGGGGTACTCAATTTGTCTAGAGCAGAATAAAAGTAAACAATATAACAAAACGTATATAATGGAAATATATGTGCTGGCAATAATATTGTGAGAATCATTGATAAATGTAACGTCCCTGAATTATGATTTACTGCATTGTCTGAACAAGTGTACGTAACTCCGTACACAGCAACATGAACTGTGTCTGTTTCTTGGACCGTGTAGTGGATACATATATGATGAATGGTCTTTGTCTGATGACATTTTGTGTCGGTCCTTTGCCAAGGTAGACAGTTCATGTCCTTATTAGGGAGCTAACAATTCATATAGCACAGTGTTTGTCATTCCATAGGTCAAGTGTCGCTCTAGACATGGTTACTATTATACAACAATCCGTTAACAAGTCCTGACTTTGTTGTCAGAAAACAATTGAACAATATATATTATATAAAAATCTGTTGTAAATCAATTGTTATAAATCTAGTTCGTTCCACAACATTATCACAAAATATATATTTAACTTAGAAAATGAATCATTAGAACTTGGGAAAAAACGAAAATGTATTTTAAAAAATCTACTATCACCGCACAGAAAATATCTGAAATACGAAATGTGTTCTTTAACTTTTCTTTACATGTGGAGGTTTCTGAGCATTCTTCAGAAAATAGAAATTTTGTTGTGGTGTCTATACAATATCACATTGAGTGACAATATAAAAACTAATTTGAAATTACTTTAACGATAGAATGTTTAAGAGCATTGTAACGTTGTCCGTAAAAATAGACCACGCTATGTCCCTTATTACATGAATGTCAGTTTGAGGAATGACACCTTGATGATCTGATCCACGGTAACTGGTCGGGTCAGCGTAAGGACATACGATTATAACAGGTAATTCATGATCACTGCTGACACATTCCACCTGACATTTATCAATAAGCTACCGTTATACTATGTCCCTGTCACATACAATCACAACGTATTCTTTGAACTGGCATGATTACATATTATTTACACATGTCTTTGCGTGTTATACAATCTGTTGTACACTTGTAAAATCAGTATTTTCTAGATACATGTTTTTAGATAGATTTCAGTGATAACTGTGATACATTGCAGGGAAGGCCCTTCTGGATATAGGAATTAAGGAAGCACTTGTCTCAAATTTCATTTCCGTTTCTCGATGCAGAAACCCAAACAAAGTCATTTCTTACTTAAATATTCCTTTATGATAGAAATGAAACGCAAATTTAAAAAGCGAATATATTGATGGCTAAAATGAAGAGAATTATTCAATAAGAAAAACATCACACACAAAAATTGCATAATGATACCTAAGAAAAATAATTCCAGAATGATATAAAAACACATAAAAAAAACTATGTGTATGGACAAGAACACTAAGCGAGATTGATACATATTAAGTAATAGCAGATGAAAATCGCTATTTATATTAACTAAAACCATTGGGGTTAAGATATTATATTGGTAAAGTGAAAATTGAGAAATAAATATTACAAAATATAGTTCTATTTCTATTTCTAATATTATTTTTCCTATTTATATCACACTATCAAAGGCTATCGACCACTTCCGGTACTTCTGTTTCTATATAGTAAGATTGAGAGGAAGTAATACCAGAATATCCCAGAAGTAACAAGCACAAGTTCACTAAATGAAAACAAGTATGTGTTTAGACAATTGTTAACGTTAAGACAAGAAAGATAAGGCATGATAAATGCATCTATTTCGTAATGACAGAGTGTGTGACCTCGAAATGGCAGGTCACAAATCGTGCTCATTGCTGTCAGCACCAAATGCAGTCTATATAAAGTAACGCTAGAACACGCCCGCCATTGTTAATAGACGGGGGCCACATGTCTGTATGACCCATAATTAATAAATGACATATTTGCAAAGATGTTACACTGCACTTTCTATTATCCCACAGCAGATGATCATAATTGCTTTTCGTAGTTTGGTTAGTAGATAGTAGACCCACATTGTTTCCTCTGGGCACAGTTTACATGAAACACTTGTTTTAGTATAAATTATTTATTGAATATAAAGTTGTAACGATTTAAGTGCTTTATAGGGGCATTTCCCTGTACCCTGTATCTCTGAATATGTTTTGCAGCCCTAAAGATATTGATTCGAAATACAATCTTTATTACAACTTTTGAGTCCGAAATCGACAAAATCACCATATGGTGCAGTAAAAATGTTAACTTTGGTTTTCTGCATTAGCATGCTGAACTTTGGCATCCTTGTGCGTATTTCTATGTGCATATGTTTATTCTAACTACGTCTACATACGGATTGTTGCCTCATCATCTGTCTATTATATAGACACACATATATTATTTAATAATATTATTATAAAGTGTTGATTAATAATATTTTAATACAACTGGAAAATGATTTCAACACAAAAAGAAGCGTAACATTTAAAACCCCGATATATATATATATAACATATGATCTGTCAATGACGTCACAAAGACAGAGACTCTAATAGAAATCTTCCTCCTTTTTTTACAACAGGTAATTAATTAAATGAAAATTTTCCGTGTTTGTTAATGTTCTCGTCTGATGTTAATGGATTAAACTATCAACGTAATTATTATATATATGATTAATATATGAATATTTATGTTAGCGTCGTGTAGTGAGAGGTTACGTGGGTTTCTTATACAGTATCTCATATCAGTTTTTGAAGATGTGACTCAGTGCTCAAGGTAAAAATAGTATGAGTCGCTAACGTTAGTTCTCTTAGATGGAACATAAGCCACGAATTTCAGCTTTTTGGATATGGTTTAAAGATAACGATTTATTATTTCAAGCTAAATATGGATTTAGACATGTATTTATCATATAGCTATTTTTCTTATGAAAATTTAAAAAGAAATATATATTTATAAATACTTTTTACACGTCTTTGTAATCCTGACAACAAATCTTCTCCCCGCATCCAATACGAATAACAGGAAAGAGATATTATACTTTCTGCAGAGAAAAAAGGGTATCCTTCTTTTCTAAGCCTATAGGTAAGTGTGCATGATATTGAGTCTGTAGATTTGTATGCTTAAAATTATGTATATGTACCTTGTATTGTGTCTATGTTTGTGCCTTACATCTAAGGATTATGTTGAATGTACACATGACTAAAACGCTTTCTGTTTAGAAAAATACATTGTTTGCCAAGATCGCAATATTGCAAAAAAACACTCTGTTATTAATGATTAAGCAAATTGTTTCACCTTTTGACGTTAGAAGAAAAATCTGAATCCCCAAGCTTTAAAATTGCATACAAAAAAAATACTTAGTCTTATATTTAATATATAATAACAGCACAAGTACTAGAATTCCACATAGCACTGGACACATGGTATGTCATTCAACATAGTTGCACGTCTATGTTTTATAATAAAATACAATTTGTTAAAGATGTAAAAAAAAAAAAGGATGCTAATCATCATATATCGATATATATTTAGTAGTTAGTGAATATGTCCCTTTTCTTGGCATACATGTAATTGTGCATAGTATTGAGTATGTAGATTTGTATGCTAAAAATTACGTATATATATATATGTGAAATTGTGAGTTTTTTTTGTGTAGATTTGTATGCTAAAAATGTATATGAATAAAGATAAATATTCAAGAGTGAACACACGTCTTGTGAAAAGAACTAACAAAAAGGAGTTGATGCCAGAGTCCAGTAGAAGGATGCAATCTGGGGCACAAATAAAATATAGAAAGTATGTGAACCTGTTTCAAAACAGAAAGTGGAAGTCACAATGCAATTTGACAATAAGAGAAAAGAAGTTATGGAAACAAGAGTGAAGAAAGTTGAGGTGGCAATATTCGTATGGTCCAGTGACGGTGAGAATAAACATCTAACACGTAGCGGTGTTGCGGTGGTAACTTTTTACTTTTGTTTTGTCATGTGACACATACTGGTGAGTTATAACGAACACTTCTACAATAAATGTCTCTACATCAGTACAAGTGCATGTAACATGATATGACACATGTGAACAAGCCATGTCCATTAACTAGTATGGCTTCTCGTACATGTATAGCTTTCTGAGAAACAATTCTTCACGCATGGCCTTTCCGCTCATGCATGTCAAGGTTTCTGATAACAATTCGTTATGCTTGACCTGCCTTTTCATGCAATTTTTGTCACTTAACCTGTTATGTTTGATAAATTGTATTTAGGATAAATTGGAACCTCACATGATCAAGCCTGGTGGTGAATAGAGTAAAATATTCTATACAATGTGCTCCAATATAGAGTAATTTTAAAATAGCTTCGGTCAGATTTATTCGTTTGAGAGCATAATATCATGTATTTTTACAATAATTATGGTCAGATTATTGTAACGAAAATAAAAGTGCTACAATATAAGTATTTTTAGAGTGATTTCGGTCAAACTAATGTGTATAGGTGCTCAAATTCAATTACTGTTACATTTGTTCATGTTATTGTATAGAAAATAATAATGTTCTAAAATATGTACTTTTACGGTAAATACGAGTTCACTCATGTGTAGAAAAATATATCCGACCTTAGAAATAAACAATACATGTCAAAATATAACCTAAATTGTAACTCAGCCAGGCATGCAGCTACACAGAAACGATTGTTTCTGCTCATATCTTCTGATTTGAAAAGGCCAATAGATGTCAATTCCGTTTATTGGCGATTAAATCAACCATTTGCACTGAAAGGGAATAATAAAGTTAGCCCATTTAAACGTGAAGCAGTTAAACAAACATGTTTCAAATCAATATGGAACATTTTTAAAAGAACAACTTTTCTTCAAAGTACAAATGAAATTAAACTAAAATGTGCAGCTTTCTTTTAAATATTTTAATATCATAACGATATAATATAAATGACTGTACTTACCAGTTATGGGAACATCTGGATTCCACATGTTCCGACTTAGAGTAATATTATATGGAGGCTTAATGTTAGCGGGCTGGGCCCTAATGGCTCGTCCTGAGAACGGATGGGTATGTCTCGGTATCATTCTGTAACAGGCTCTCTCTGGTGCACCGTCTGGGTAGGCGAATACTCCACACACCAAACCCCACAGTAACACCACAGTAAAAACAAGTTTTCCTTTAAGTTTTAACATTTTAACTATTTACAAAAGGTTAGCACTGATGTAAGATGTTATCCGCTACGCTCGTCAGCATGGACGTACGGCTGAGTAGAACTGGAGGTGTGTGCACACTGCTAGTCCGCTGTCTACTGGCGGTCCTCGTGGGTAAGCTAGCCTCAAAGTGGACAGTCTTGAAATACTTACGGCGAGGAAAGGTAAGCAAGATGACAGCACATGAATACTACACGTCCAATAAAACTAATGATAATGACACAAAGGGATATGGTAAATTAGCATACGCAGGTAAAGGTGTGTGTATACAAAGCAACACGTGTCTCAACTGTTTGACCACTCATTGTCAGAAAGATACCCAAATATTACCCATATTGATATTAATTTATCTAGGATGGATATTTATCTGAAAGGTGAGGTTTTCAAAATAGTTTTTCTGATTTACTCAAAGTGAAAAGGCAACAAAATAAATATACTAGTACTAGTTTATTTGTAGTAGCAATTGCTGTTATCATGTCCTTTTTTTTAGCTTCTTATATATTTTCTGCAGTTGTTAGAAAAGATACCACATCGGTATAAGGGAAGGAATCATTGTTCACCAGGCCATTAAAGAATCAAGATTTGAGAAAAAGAGCTTCTCGTGGGTTTTTTTATAAATATCAAATTATAAATCACGCGCAGCTGATTATCAAGAAATGTTGCCAAGCAGGTTAGAAACTGAGTTTTTTGGAATGCTAGTGTAATTGGACTCTTAATGTTGTGAAATAGATCCTCAAATCGGTAAAAAAAAAAAAAAAAAAAAAAAAAAAGGATCTTTTTAATACGACATCATTGTCACCTAAATTCAACTTGTCACTTTCCTTTATATTAAACAACATTATATTTTTGAAAAGTTGCTTACCATTGGGTCTGGCGTATTTTCAAAGAATCGTTGATGTTTAAAGTTACAAAGTGTATATACCCAAGAGTATTAGAAACATAAGTAAACTCAAATTCAATATGAAATAAACAACATCAGGAACTTATTAGACACCAAAACAAACAAACAAAATACAGCATGCCCCGCTCCCTAAAAGCAACAACAACAAAAACCAGAAAACACCAAAAGTTAAAAAGATATTGAGAAAAAGATATTAATTAGTATTTGCGCATTACCTTTGAAAGACTTTCTCTTAGTAATACTCCAATTGTTAACTGTTAGTATATTGTTAACTGATCTGGAGTCCATTCCTGTGAGTTATGTCCCTGTGGTAAAACACTTACTCCAAAGTACGCAAAAAGTTGACTGAAACATATTTGACATCACAGACATAGTTATTAACATTTAACAGATCCAGGATATCCCCTTATATGAGGGACTGTCTCTCGTTTGAGGTACTGTGCTTGAGGAATTCATTACTTGGATTTGATCTCGATTGTGGGTGTCGTCGATGAAGCGAACGACGCTTACCCTTCCAGAACACCTTATCCTCTTTGTACGTTTTCAAGGGTTTCCATATAAATCTTTCATATTTTGCTCTAGTTTATGGTTTTGTTAACATTTTGGTATTCTCTTGTTGGTTTTGTGGACACTTGTGCATTATGATACCAAATACGGAATACGACGATTGATATAAAACAATTAACTATTTTGCCCTAATAAGCAATGATTTCGGTGCCGAACATATGGGATGATCCTCAACCTGTTCAACAGAACAAATCTGTACTTTCATTCCATGTCAAATAAAGAGAGAGAGAGAGCATTTTTCTCAACAAAGAATTCTTCTGGTTATATTCCGTAGCAATAATAAATATCCGTCTTTTTTATTTCTGGATCAATAAGATACAGTACTTTTCTACATAATGTCGTATTAAAAACATATTGTTTCATTCATTTCTTTGTTTTCATATTTTAAAACAACACTTTGTCTTGAAAAAGTATGCTTTATATTTAACAGGCATTAACTTTTTAACGTAAAAATACAGTATTCCCTAGCTCCAAAGTTTATTACCCTAAGGTAGGTGAAGTTGACCTCTGAATCACCGTGGAGTACACGCTCTCCACCTTTAGCATGACCAGTAGATGACAGCCTTCATTTGTCAAACAGTGTTCTTATCCTTTTGTCTCACTTACACTGTTATCTTTATAGCAATAACTGTTAACGTACCTAATAGGTATACGGGGGGAAACCAGGTATTCTAGCAGCGTTTTGGTATATCTTATTTGATCTTGTGTTCATAAGCGGGACATTGGGGGATGCTATCAGTATGTTACACAATGTCATCAATCTAATTAATTTCAGCAGTCCCAATGCATTTCCTGGATGAAATTAAGTGCAGTGATAGAACTTATTTAAATTAGATTGTCGACCAGATGTCCTCTCCGTGTCTGTTTCTGTATGCAACTCCTCTGTGAAATCTGTGTCTGATACACTGTTGAGAACTTTATTGAAAATAAATATAGAATGCATGTCTTTGATTTTGTTAAGCCGTCTGGATTTTTACAAAACTATTACAAATTATAGTCTATATTGTTGTAGTTTAAACATTATTATATTTCCATTTTTTGCCACTTTAAACATACTACAAAACATAGTATAAAGTGGATTGAAAAACAAGCTAAGAGCTTATATTAATTCCTCTCCTCTATTGGACATAACGGCACTTTACATGGACATTTGAACATATTAATGATGACAGAAGGACAAAACGTTAGAGATATATGAAGATATAGTTATTTTAGATAATGCATACAGCACATCGGCTGTTAGCTGTTTTACTGGATAAGGAGTAAAGAAGGAGAAAAATGACAAGACAAAACTAAACTAAAAACTTATCAGTGGTGTAAAAACAAAAGATAATTATCAAGCAAGCAATATCTTTTCAAATCGTTTATTGTCGATGATAAAGTCATGTACGGCAAGAAATATTACAGAATGGTTCCTATCATTTGATTCACAATCACTCCACAAAAGAACATCTACATTATTTTAAAATGGTATTTGATAAAACCTGCTGTCTACTTTGAGCGTATTTGTTCCATGTGAATGAAAAACGACAAGTATATTCCATGGCGAATCCACAAATACAATGTGATTAGTCGATAAGGTTTATTCATATTGTTCTTATAGTATAATCATTATATCTCACACAGTCCTTCAAACCCGTTGTGTGTATCAATAGAGAAATTATGACTTAATAAACATTTTCATTGTTTCTCATTTCCTCTACACAAAAAATAGTTATGCACCTAGAAACCTTAATGTTACCTTGACTGCCACTGATGATTAATTTCCAATTATGTTTTTCTTTTAACTTCCAGCTACAAGATTACCACCGACCTCAGGAACTGATTGCCCACCTGCAGAGTCAAACACCTTGTCACTATAAACAATTACTGGAAACAAATAAGGAAGCTTCAGTTAAGGCGTTTATTTTCTCAGTGCATCAAGCCAAACAGTAAGCATTTTATTGCATCATACGGCTCTTAGGGCTCACCAGTGGTACTAAGGATTACAAAATCAAAATCAAACCTCAAGTTTTCTGAAACAATTCAGAAATACAGCAGAGAGGAAACCCCTTATGACGCTACAACATTTCAAGTTTTGGCTTCGAGACTGCAGCTCACCAGATACTTCACAAAACTTCATAGATATAGACAAAGAAGCAAAATTACTCGTGTTGTGCTATTCCATTAAAAGAACTCTACTCCTAATGAATATATGTATTGAAGGAAGGTGCTTATTAGGGATTTATAGACATTTATAGATATTGTAAATCAATTGAGTACAGTACTAAATAGCAAGATACCAATATTGAATAAACAAGATTACAAAACAATTACATATAGATATTTAACTTTAAATAGATATCAAAGAATAATGGCACAAATATTAAAAAACAAATTATAACAAAGAACGACGGCACAAATATTAAATAAACTATATATCAAAGAACCATGGCACAAATATTAAATAAATTATATATCAAAGAACGATGGCACAAATATAAAATCAACTAGATATCAAAGAACGATGGCACAAATATTAAAGAAACTAAATAAGGAAGTGTGCGTAATGCAGGACATATTTTCCCTCTAGAGTTCCTGGTTGTACCTGACTTTTTTATTTGTTTTCTCGTATTGACATAGAGTTTGACATTGGTTCGTTATATGTTGACGTTATGGTCGATACTTTTTCTGTCTTAGTTAACCATCTACTTGTTTGTACGTAACTATGTAGGACGTGTATTGACAAATGGTGGTATTCATTGGAAGGAACCGGAAACGTCATCCAGTAGCACTTACATATCTCATCAATAATAATTAATCATAGCTGCAATAAAACCGCTACTGACCATACATGGTACCTGTTCGGTATATTGGCAAACTGTGTAAATCATAAGTACGCAAACATGCAAGGCGTAGAACCGATGTACATAATGACCTTTGAACTCGTGTAGGTATCATGTCTTTTCCTTGATGATAAGTCGGATTAATTGTTTTTTATGGGTTGGACAGGAAGGTTATGACAGGTGAGATTGAGGTCACGTGTAGAAGCACTATGTGGTAGTAATAACGATACCATCCGTGCATTATTGAAACTTACCTGTACACATGATGTGGTGGTAATGGTTTTATTGCGAGACTCACGATTCTATCAAATAATAATGGGATTATGTAAGGTGTCAATGCTACTATATTAAGAAGCATCAGTGTTCCATTTTATGTTCGGTATAGTGATAAAATAATAATAAAGTACGGAATGATCACGCCGATCGTATAGAGTGTTTCAGCTGTCATTTTGTAACGATGAAAAATACATTATATATACATGTACAGGCGAGCAAAATATAACCATTGAGCATGCATTTTTCACCATAACATTCTTGGTTTACTATTTGCATTTTCAGACATAATACTGCTGACATAAATTATAAATAATGAATATGACTGATAATGATGAAAATTGAGAGAATAAACGTTACATTTGTTATGTAACTTTATGCGTCATATTTACTTCTCAACCAGATATCAGTGTGATGAGTAACTACGTTAATATCTATATTTATTAAATGAGCGATTCCAACATTTTAACAACCTATAATGCAGTTACAGAATTAAATTGTAATATAGGGTGTCAAGTTATATTTTAGTATATATCT